TCGATAAAATTGCTCAGCCCTAGCAAAGAAACACAGCAGTTTTATAATTAAGACGGTTTAAAGTGTATTTTGGGACAGTTTGGTACAGTGGTAAATAAAAAGAAGTTAAGTTAGAGCCTTGTACATGATTTCTGAGGTTTGTGGGCATTAGACATGCAGCTGTTACTAGAAAGGTTGTATTGCAGCATGTGCCTGTTCCAATTTGAGTTCTGGCTCTCATAAAGAAGGGACGTCACACAGGCTTGTAGCAGCACACAGTATTTGGCTCTTAGTCGGAAATGAACCCCAAACCCTGGCAGGGACGGAGCTGCAGACACACCCTCGTCTTATTTGTTTGTGCGTGAGACAGCGAGTGGGCAGCAGTGAGGCCTAATTTCATTAGAGGCTAACAGAAGATCTGCTGAGCAGCTGCAACTACAAACTGGAGGAGGAACATTTACTTCATCCCCTCCTTATTTATCATGTTACAGCAACACAGATTACCCAGCATCCACAGGTTTATGGTCCATGTAAACAGAATGCTGTGATGGCATCATAGTATCTATACGTTTATAACAGCTCCAACCAATTATTGATTAAGAATCAGTCAAGCTGGAGGCTGCGCTCCAGAGCTGCTCACTCCACACGAAGGAAGGAAGGAGGATGGAAGGAAGAACTAAAGAAATAAAGAAAGGGGGTCAAAGAGCAGACAGAAAAAAAGACAAACAGACAGACTTGAAGTAATAAACCAGAACAATGTGGTTCCCTGAAGGTGATTTTAATCACTCTAATCACCATAGAAACAGGTCTATTCATCACTGGCCCAGTACTGACTTTGTCCTACAGCTGAGTCATAAAGCAAATACACTCAGACCATAAAAACAACATTATGATCATAAATCATACTGATGAGTGAAGAGTGTTCCCAACACAACCCTCCCAGTTAAACCAGTTAGCTCCTAGCTCCAGAACCAGCTCCTGGGTGCAGGTTCAGCCCTGGATTCATGGGCCATGATTCACACCACAAACCAGATGTAGTCGCAGCCAGCCGTCAGCTACCCTCAGATTAAATGGTGTCACTTTAGTGGCAACCGTGGGGTTTATTTGTTCAATAAAAGCACGTTTTAAATAATTTAATTTTTATTCTCTTGGCATAGGCTTTTCAATGTTTGGTTCTACACTGTCTGTAGTTTTTTACAGTTCTAATCTGTCAAACCATGACAGACTGTAAACTCTAAATAGGTTAAATACACTTTCTGTAATAGTAAACCACCATCATATCTCATGGCAAAACATTCATTTATATGGCATTTTAACTGAATTTATACAGAATAAAGTAGTGTTTTATGTTACAGTTATTTGCACAGAAAACTACTGTCATCCCATGGCAAAAACGTTTTTATACAGCATTAATATGAAAAATGTTCCAAAGTAAATATGGAATAGGACTGTTCTGCCAGTTTTCTTGAGGTGTTATTGGCAGTGTACCTATTATATCAGAAAATCAGTAATTGTTTATTTATCCCAAATTGTATTGTCTTCGCAATATTGAACAATGTTATCACACATTGGAGATTTTCCTTGTATCTCGGAGGCCTAGTGGTTACCTGAGCAATGCACCAGGACCGACGGGCTCAACAGGAGCTGCTCACAAGGTAACATGTTCAGGAAGAGTCCCATGAATTAGTTTAGCATATTTAAATCTCACAAGCCTACATTTTGTCTTATTCATTTTCATGCTAAAACGTCTGATAGGCTTTTGTTCTCTTAAATATGTAACGCTCTTTACTAGAAAAGATGAATTCCTAATAAAATAACAATACCGATGTCTTATATTTGGTTAGCTCAGAGCTATGGAATATTAAATCATCCATCTTTACTCCCAACATCTTAGCAGCCTTTGTTGTTGCCATCGGGTGTGCATCTATCGGTAAGTGTATCAGCCAAAACTAATATCCATATTGTGCATCCCCATTTAAAAAACCTGATAATAGATTTTAGGGTGATCCAGTCAGCCTCTTATCAAGACTCCCAAAAAACTTCCTGCTAACATCATAAGAACTATGACCTCTCAAAGCCTTTTAAGGGTTATTACTTAAAGATCATTAAAAGGACATTGATCGTTTTGTCTCCCCAATATGAAACAGGAAAGCACAAAATTCTCACTTTGGAGCTGGAGAAAAAAACTAAATGATTAATAGATTGTTTTGACAAGGAGGAGCTTGAACCATAGAATAAGTAAACACAATCTATCCTAATCTAAAGTAAAAACAGATTTCATTCATTTTCTGTTTCTGATCTTTGCTGCTTATCAATACCGACCCTCCTCCTCCTTCATTTGTATGACTCCCTTTCCTTTCCCCTTCCTACTCTGACTGTTGCTGGAATGTGGCGACAAGGTAATGGAAAATACACCCCAACACACACTGCTTTGCTCTACACTCCAGGAAATCACTGCTCTGATAGCACCCTCACTGTGGACCGACTATGAGAACAGTCACAATCTGACACTTCTCTCCAACAGACAGGAATTTTACTGTTAAGCCCCATCCACCTCCCACTCAGCAGGTAAAGTTCCCGCCCACATCTGCTGTCAATCATTTTTAAACAGCTGTCATCTATCTATCATCTGGGTCTGAGGTCACCAGCGTCTGTACAGCCTCCACACCAACCGGAGCCAACCTGTTTCTTTGGTGTTTTTGGTGGATTTTCTGCCTCAGCTGCTGCAGTGGAAGCTGAAGCAGCCGCCAGCAAGCTGCACTGGTGTGATCCCAGTATGAACGAGTGGAAACAGGAGAGACTGGAGCTCCGACAACTTTCCCCAGAGTCATAAAAACATAAGACTAAAATATAACTGTAATTGTAGCAGGCAGAATATTGGCCGTGTGTGTGTGTGTGAGAGCGTGTGTGCGGGGGTGGGTGGTCTGGTCAGAGACTGGACTCCGTGCAGGGAGGTCAGATGGTTTCATCCACCGTGTCGCCTTAGAAACTACAGCCAGGCCACAGAGCCATGCACGGACGACCAAACGATATAGGTGGTCCTGTGTGTTTGTGTGTTTTATGCGCCTGTGCTACAGAAGAAAGTGAAAAAAAGAGAGAAGAAACTGAAAACACAGAAAGAAGAATATACATATGTATTATCAGAAATAAAAAGTTATGTATGAACAAAAAAGTTGCAAAAAAAGTCTAAAAGAAAAAGTAAAAGAAAGTAAAGTAAAAGACAGAAATACAGAGAGAGAGAAAAAAAAGAGAGAAAGCCAAACAGTCTCTCTCTGTGGACACCGAAGTCAGATTATTTTCCAGGTTTTGACCTCCAAATATTTCACACTTACATGCTCAAAATGTCCGCTAAAACAGCCGAGGAGCTGGACAGAGATGGAGTGACGAGGTTGGTCGGACAGGGGGAAAAATGGCATCTAAAGTGAGACCACAGGAAGAGGGGTGTGTTTGAGAGTCTGAGATATGACTTCAGTCTAACCTCTAAAAAAAACAGCTAGACTTAACTCTCGTCTGTCAAATCAGGAGGGTTCTCCAGTGAATTTTAAATAGAACTCCCATAAAAGACAGCCTGATGACATTATACTGTTCTGACAGGCTGAGTTACAACAACAATACAACTGAAATGATCAATATTCATCAGTTACAACTATTTTGAAAATTGATCAAAGGTGAGCATGTGAGGATGTTGTGCTATTCTCTGTTTTCCATCATTATAAACGGAATATTTTGGGGTTTTGCACTGTTGGTTGGACAAATCAAGCAATAAGATGTCACATTGGGCTCTGAGCACTTGTAACAGTAATTTTCCTTTATTTTCTGAAATTTTTCAATTCAATCAATTCATCAAATGAAATCAATTCATTTATATCATAAATATAACAGTTAATTATTGAAAATAATATTTAGCTGCAGCCGTACATGACCAGTAAACTGATCTTCATGTGTAAAATCAGTGAAGTTTCTGTCTCTCAAACCTCACAAACCTCCTTCAAATTCACTGAAAAACTACTGTAAACTCACTTCACATCTGCTCAGAAACTGATTTCAGATCAGTTCCTTCCAACACTGACAGACATCTGTTCAGACAATGTTCACCTTACTTTTTTAAATGATGTTCTCAATTTCTGTTAATTTTCAAACCTAAAACAAATGAAAGGAGTAAAGCTGTGACTGAAAGCTCACCACAGTGACTCATAAAGCAGTCAGAGTAGTGTCTGAGGAATTTATGACTCGTCTGCAGAGTTTCTGATAAAAAGCAGAATCCAAACACTGCCAACCGCTGGGGGAGTGATTGCTAAGCGGCAGTAAAGATAACATCAACACCAAAACACCACTCCTCAAAGGCTCATTTCTACACATGTAAAGAACCACTGCCACTCATGTCATTACTGCTACAGCCATCATGCATATAAACGTGTACAAGCGCATCAGACAATGCATCACAACTTTTTAACGGCTGTTACTGAGAAGAGAAATGATTTAAAATCATTATACCTCATTAGTGTGAAAATATGCAGTTTAATATAAACACTATTGGAGAAAGACCTTATTAATTACAGTTCCAGCTGTATTTTACGTCAAATTCACTTGAAAAATAGATTATACTCCAGAGCCCAACTGATTTATCGGTGGGCCAGAACCGGCCCGCGGGATGTGTGAAAATTACAGAAAAGACAGCGTATTGAACATAGCACAATGCTTTATTAAACCACGACAAGTGTAACTCACAACGTGTACATTATCTGCTGTCAAAAAGGAGACTCAAACTTAGCAAACGTAAACAGTGTTGATTAAACCTTACTTTTCATGTAGTAAGAACTGCCTGCTTCAGACACTTGGTTGCTCTGTGGAAAATGCAGTACTTACTGTGTCTAGTACCTGCATTCTGGTTCACACGAGTGGCGCCCACAGATGGTTGGAAAATGTAAGCTAGAATTTAAAAAGATAATTTGTAGATTTCTTTGATAGTTGTTTGAATTACTTGATTAACTGTAAGCGA